CTTAAACCACGTGACCACTACAGAGCCAAGTATAAGCACGCATAAGAAGATGGCAGTGTGTCAAACCAAAAGATAACTTATGCCAAAATTTGGATAAGTTTTTGACTTACCCTCGTATATTGGCTATTTTTGTGAAGAATCCAACTTTAAGCTAGACATCGCTCTATAGACTCTCTCTATATATTGTGAGACCGGAACTACCTACACAATAGACTCTTCCAGGTCTATATTAAGTATGCGACACAACACTCTAGTCAGGGAGTCACAGAGACAGAGAGAGCCGCGTACGACTACCAGTATTGGACACTAACATATAGTAAGCTCCACTTACATTATCTCTGTAACCTGTTGTTAATATATCTTTCTTACATCTAATCCGTGTTCCGTGTTTTCCTTCTATGGTCCTGACTTCATCCCCACATCAGTGGCGACGAGAATTGAGAAACCTGCTCACGCCGAAACCTCAATACCTTACTAGTTCCACATCTGTGTCGACGAAGAATCTGAGAAACGCATTCACGTCGAAACCGCAATACCTTGCCAGTCCCACATCAGTGGCGACAGAAAGATTCGAGAATTTCGTTCTCACCATATCAATAGCGACAGAGTACTCGAAAAATACACAGAAACTCCACGCGTTCCCACAGCAGTGTTGAACGAGAAATTAAGCTGGTATTACTAATTTAGCGATTTAAACGCAACACCCAGCGTCTACATATAAAAAAAATATATTCAGATACCAAACAGCATTGACGAGCTAGCGTTTCGACATCTACGAAATATTAAAGTCTGTCCAAATAACATTACGAGAATGATTTTTTACACACCCACACAAAAAAAACAAAAAAAAACAGTTTGTTCATAAAACAAACTGACAACACAAGAGCGGAAGTACTACCATTGTACTCAAGTTTTCGAAAAAAACTATCTAAAATTTTTTTTATGTAACTGAGTTGAACTCGTGCATAAAATTATTCTCCCCTCAAATTCACTGAGGTGAGTTTTCTCTTTTTGTACCTCTATAAAAAAAATACATAATAAGTGTTGTGAAAATTTATACAATTACGTTAAAATTAACGGAACCACGGAATCGCAAAAAAGCTAAACACATAATTAGTTTAGTTTTAACTAATTGTCTGTCCATATTTTTTTTCTGTAAAGAAAAAAAAACAAAAAAATCTATCAAGATTTTTTTTGTGTACCTCCCTCTTAGTACACGTGTTTCAAAGCAACAAAAAATCGCTGTCATATTCATTTTAAATATGGAAGATTTTCAAAAAGCAGTTGACCAAATGTTAAAACTAAATTTGGATCAGCAACAAAAATCAGAAGAAAGACAACAACTATTTTTGGAATTACATAAACAACAAATGAAATTCCAACGAATTACGCTTCAGAATGCTGAACTACAACAGAAACAACTTAAAGAATTACTCGTAAATGCATTAAAAGGCTCAAACTCTGAAAAAGATACAATATTCTCCCAGAGTATAATCTACAATTCAATGGAAACCTTTGAATACGTACCAGAGGACGACAAAACGTTCCAGGGGTTTTACAGGCGCTACGAAGATATTTTCAACGTAGACTGTGAACAATGGCCCAGTAAAAAAAAGGTACGTCTTCTATTGAGAAAACTGGGAACTACAGAACATAGTAGGTTCGTAGACTTCATACTACCCAAGAAAACGACTGACTTGGATTTTTCAGAGACTATTAAGCTCCTTTCGGAACTATTCGGGCCTAACACAACCTTGTTCCACAAACGTTAGAAATGCCTGAACACTGTCAAAGACAACCAGCAAGATTTTCTAACGTTTGCAGCAACGGTAAACAAGCTATGTAATGATTTTAAACTAGCTGAACTAACTGCCGATGATTTTAAGTGCTTAGTTTTCGCACAAGGTCTAGTATCAGCAGAAGACGCCGAAGTCAGACGACAGGTACTGACCAAGCTTGAGAACGAACAAGGATTGACTCTGCAAAAACTGGCAGAGGACTGTCAAAGAGTAATATCAGTAAAGCATGGCTCAAACACTATCGAGGAATCAGGTGTGGCTCAGATTAATAAAATCAGAAGTAAGTCTACCTCCTATTCCCCCAAAAAGACAAAAAAGGCAAATCTCATGTCCCAAATTACGCAGTAACCAAATCCCAAATAGGTTAAAGAAACTGCCCGGACCATGTTAACATTGTGGTAAATGGCATTGGGTGAAATTCTGTCCAGTTAAGAACAAAAAAATATTGCAAAATTCCAATAAAAGTGGGCATATTTTAACTTCGTGATGGTACGCCAACAGAACGAGAAAAACCCAAAAAATAAAATTAGGCAAGCTCAATCTGACAATATTGTCGATAGGAATTTAAGAAAATATGTAACTGTGGATATTCAATAAGTCCATTAAATTCCAGCTTGACTTCCGTGTTCCGATCTTTCAACCATTAATTGGCGTACTTGGCGAAAATTGAACAAGCTGACCTTATTAAAAACGGATAAAACAGCAAAATCCGTAACTGGCGAAAAGATTAACATTTTAGGCGAGGTAATACTTACAGTAACACTAAATAGAGTTACCAAAAAGCTCAAAGGCCTACGTATTGAAAAAACTTCAGATAACTTATTCGGAACAGATTGATAGAAAAATTCAATTTTGGGATTGCCCAATGAGTACATTTTGTCGCAAGATATCAAAGCACAACGTCCAATTTGGTAAATCAAAAAGAAACTCAAACAACAATTTCCCCAGGTTTTTTCTGGCGGCCTTGGGAAATGTACTAAAATGAAAGCGAAGTTCAAGGTGAAGGACGGTGCACAACCGGTATTCAAAAAGAAACGGAATGTCCCTTTCGCTGCTCTAGAGCAAATCAACAAAGAGTTAGATAGACTCGAACAAGCAGGTATTCTGTCAAAACAGATTGCAGCGAGTGGGCAGCACCTACGGTCTACGTAAAAAGAAGTCCAATCAAATACGAGCCAACGCGATCAGAAACATGCCGGCCCCAGATAACGTAAATGTTACAAAGCTTCCGCGGCCTAGCTTAATTTTTACCAAGGGTTCATTAAGAACATGCAAAATTTGAGAGGGCCTCTCAACCAACTCTTAAAAAGGATAAACCATTGTCATGGACCCCAGAATGCCAAGACGCATTCGAGAAGATCAAGAAAACTCTTACTTCAGACCTCTCCCTCACACATTACGACCCTAGTCTCGACATCATAGTCGCAAATGATGCAAGCTCGTTCGGCATGAGTGCTTGCATTTTACATAAACTGCCAGATGGTTCGCGAAAAGCTGTGGCTCACGCATCAAGATCTCGTGTTCGATCTCGACATGCCCCAAGTCTCTCCTGAAGTGCGACGCTCAGGATGGAAAAGGAAATTTACTCAACCGCTCGACGTAAATCCCAAGAGGAAATTTTTATTAACAGTTTTATTTTTTCTCCTTTCAAAAAGAAAACTTTTGGCAGGGGGGTATTGTGAGACCGGAACTACCTACACAATAGACTCTTCCAGGTCTATATAAGTATGCGACACAACACTCTAGTCAGAGAGTCAGAAAGAGAGAGGGAGCCGCGTACGACTACCAGTATTGGACACTAACATATAGTAAGCTCCGTTTACACTATCTCTGTAACCTGTTGTTAATATATATTACTTACATCTAATCCGTGTTCCGTGTTTTCCGTCTATGGTCCTGACTTTGGCCCCACATCAGTGGCGACGAGTCATGGTTTTTTCACGCCGAAACCTCAATTACCTTACTAGTTCTACATCTGTATCGACGAAGAATTCGAGAAACGCATTCACGTCGAAAACCGCAATAGCTTACCAGTCCCACATCAGTGGCGACAGAAAGATTCGAGAATTTCGTTCTCCCCATATCAATAGCGACAGAGTACTCGAAAAATACACAGAAACTCCACGCGTTCCCACAGCAGTGTTGAACGAGAAATTAAGCTGGTATTACTACATTAGCGATTTAAACGCAACACCGTGTTCCGTGTTTTTCTTCTGGGGTCCCGACTTTGGCCCCACATCAATACATAACTCTGTTTTTTTAAGTATTTCACACTAAGCAAGGCGGGAGTGACACTAGCACTTAAGGGGTTACAGGAAGTAAAAGTGAGAGAAAAGACTGAGTATAGGGGAGATTGAGGAAAAGATAAAAGATGAACGGGATTCAAGTCAACAGAAAATGGCGGTTGACGTTGCATTTAAAATTTTAAAGATCTTAGTCATCAGCTACAAGTAAGAGGAAGGGAGTTCCACAGTCTGGGACGTTGCAAGAGAAGAAACTGTTGGAGTAGAAGAGGTGGTTACATTTAACTGTTTCGACAGTTAAAGGGTGTAAAGTAGGTTCAGGGGTTAACGCGGAGAGACTGAATACGTGTAAAAAAGGGCCCTTTCACCATTACCGTCTTCCGAGTTTGCGGAATCTTCTCATCAGCGGTAGAGTTTGAGAGAAAAAGAGTGAGAGTGTTGGAGAGAAAATGATTATAGTGATGATGTCTATAATGAGAGAGAGAGAGAGAGAGAGAGAGAGAGAGAGAGAAAGATTGAGAGATAGGGAGAGAAAATGATTATAGTGATGATATCTATAATGAAAGTGTCATATAGAAAGAAAATGAGTAAATACTGACACCTACGTTCGAGCGTGACACTCTGGATTCATGAATATATGTTGTTTTTTTTTCCCGCCAGGTGTAAAAATAGCGCTGTCAGGCTACTGACTGCAGTGATTATTGAGTGACTATTGAGCGAAACTATCCAGTCGAATTAGTGTGAACTACTGTGCGATGAAGATTTGGGTTTTGATTTAGGATTTACCAGACGTAAAGCCCAACCCAGCCGCGCTTCTAAAAAGTTATTCACTGAAATGCTTAATTATCTTTGGTTGACTTTTACTCCTTTTTTCACTAAAAAAGAAAGCACTGGAGTTCGTGACTCTTCCATCGTGACATTTTTTTACCAATGATAGCCAAATCTGATCAGTTTCGGCTTGCAACCACATCACATTGAGACACCGGTTCCCGTTAGATCACACAAATTAAGCAACACCGAGCCTGGTTAGTACCTAGATGGGTGACCGTTTGGAAATGCCAGGTGCTTTAAGCTTGGTGTAATGAATAATGGCTAGGAATTGTTAATCGGAGTACTAAGTTTTAATTCCGGGTGGGTTTGTTAAATCCACTTACGCGCATATACCCTTGAGAAAGTTATGAATCCACATCTTCTCCCCACCAGCTATGGGTTAATTAGTAAAACTTGTATCACTAAACAATTATTATCCACCCCCTAAAAATCAGTACAATCTAAAAAAGTATTTTATGACTTTAAATAACCTACAAAGGGTTGATAAGCTGTAAAAAATATCATTTACTCAATCTAATCAGTTTCAACATCGATTTATTTGAATTTAAGTTTATTTTCAGTATTTTGATTTTAATTTTTTATCAACATTTTTTAGAACTTTAAATTTCGCTACAAATTCGATACTAAGCCTACTCAGTAGATTAAGGAGAAATGAAATGCTATGTCAGTCAGTTATGTGCCATATGTGATACACGCTTAGGCGATCATTTATCTTTCGATACATGACTGACGAGGCAGATTTTTTTCCCGCAGTAGGTGGCCATTTCTTTCTGCGGTAGACTAATTGCCATCCAAAGTCTGTCCTTCTGTTTAACCATAGCTGGAGGGGGAAGAAGATTCATATTTTTCCTAAGGGTATTAGCACGTAAATAAATGTAACGGATCTAACTGGAATTCGAACTCGGCTCTCCGATTCGTCAATCCCAGCCGATATCCATTACTCCACCTCGAAATGTTATGTGAGAATATTTAAAGCTATTCTTTAAAAAGTTGCGTAAAAATTTGGCATATTCTTTCATGTAGTGAAATTTAATTTTTTAATTTTTCATAACAAAATACCAACAGTGTAATTTTTTGTAAGAATCAAGAAAGAATTTTAAGAAATCTCAAAGTCAACATGGACTGTATGCACCAGTTCCAAATCCATCCTTCTTCACTGATATATATATATATATATATATATATATATATATATATACAAATAAAGAGAAAGAACAGTCAGATTAAAAATCCACAATTTTCTAGCATTTATTTTTTAAAAGTGCTCGATACAAAGTAGAGCTTAATATTATAATATTATTATTTAAAATATTCTATATTTTATATTATTATTTAAAATATTTAATATTATTGAAAATTTTATATTATTTAATATTTCATATTATTTAATATTTATATTATTTAAAATATTTTATATTATTTTATATTATATTATTTAGTTTATATTATTAATATTTTATCTTATTAAAAATGTTTTATATTACTTAAGATATTTTATATTTACTAGTATTATTTAAAATATTTTAGGCGATGATAAAATATTTTGAAAATAATTTAAATAATAATAACATATATATCTTTGTATCTTTAACAGAATATTTTCCCAGATGTACATAAAGTCTTCAAGTTGTATTACAATTCATAGATTAAAAATAAAATAATTCGGTAAATACGATGTACCCATTTACCTATCTATCTATCTATCTATCTATCTATCTATCTATCTATCTTTGTTCTTTATCTATGTATCTAAGTCTGTCCTTTATCTATCTATCTATCTATCTATCTATCTATCTATCAATCACATTCTGTTAATATCTATTTATCTGTATCAAGCTTTCTATCTATTCTCTTCATATATGTGTATATAAGTCTGCTCATTGTCTATCTTATTCTTTTAATATCTCTTTATCTCCATCTAGTTATCTCATTCTATTCTGATCTATCTATCTATCTATCTACCTATCTATGTATGTATCACATTCTGTTAATATCTATTAATCTCTATCTAGCTTTCTATCTCACTCTATTCTGATCTATTTATCTATCTCAGTCTGTTCTTTATCTATCTTTCTCATTTTGTTAGTTAATATATCTTTATCCCGATCTCATTCTATTCTGATCTATCTATCATCTATCTATCTATCTATCTATCTATCTATCTATCTATCTCGTTCTGTTAATATCTATCTGATTGTGTTAGTTAATATCTATTTATCACTATCTAGTTTTCTCATTGCATTGTGATCTATCTATTTATCTATCTATCTCATCCTGTTCCTCCCATAATATCTATCTAAGCCTATTCATATATCTATCTCAGTCAATTCACATTCATTATCTATCTATCTATTCATTATCTATCTATCCCAGTGTGTTTCATCTATTCATCTATCTATCTCATTCTTTTCCTCCCAATCATATCTATCTATCTCATTCTGTTCCTCCCATTCATCTATCTATCTATCTATCTATCTATCTCATTCTTTTCCTCCCATCTATCTATCTATCTATCTCATCCTGTTCCTTCTATCTCATTCATCTATCCATCTATCTATTCAGGATATCTATCTCATTCTGTTCCTCCCATCTATCTATCTATCTATCTATCTATCTATCTCATTTTTTCCTCCCATTCATTCATCTATCTATCCATTCATTCATTCATCTATCTATCTATCTCATCCTGTTCCCTCCCATTCATGTATCATTCATCTATTCATCTATCTATCTATCTATCATATCTATCTATCTATCTCATCCTGTTCCTTCTATCTATCTATCTATCTATCTATCTATCTATCTATCTATCTATCTCATTCTGTTACTATCTGCTTATCACTATCTCATTCTATTCAAATCTATCCATCTTTTTTTATACCTCTGCTACAGTCTTCATTGTCAAAAAACGGTATTATTTAGATGGATGGTCGTCGGTGTGTTTATTTGGTCCAGTCATCCACTCACCATCCAGGCACAAATTGAGATTCTAAAGGGGGTCTAGGCCCGGACAGCGGGGGTTTGGCGGGGGGGACAAGAAGGCCCGGGTGCTGTAAAAAGAGGTGCGTTAAAGGCACGGTGAGAAAAAATATAAAATATAAAAAGTTCTCTTAGCGTCAAACGGTAATTTGTTCATAAACAGCCAATCATTCGCTTGTAGTCGATCTTCACTTAAAGTTACGAAAATAAATATTCAGGTGTGGATGGGTGGGTTTAGGACAAGAGCGTCCGAAAAAGAAAAATACACTTCAAAAAGAAGGAAAGGAATCAAAACCTTTAAATAAAAACATTTTCTCTTTCTATTTCTCTTAATTTCTTGTGGCGTTCTTTCTTCGTTTCTTTCTTTCATATCATTTTCTTTCTTTTATTTTATTTCTTTTTTTTTTCTTTCTTTGTCCTTTTTTTAGTTTTTTTTCTTTCTTTTTTTTCATTCATTGCTTCTTTTCTTCTTCTACATTTCTTTCTTCCTCCTTTCTTGTCCTTATGCCTTTCTTTTTTCTTCATTAATTGCTTCGTTTCTTCTACATCCCTTCCTACCTTCCTTATCTCTTTCTTTCTTTCTTTTTTATTTTCCTATTTCTTCCTTTCCTTGTCCTTTTCTTTCCTTCTTTCTTTCTTTTCCTTCCCACCTTGTCCTTCATATTTCTTTATTGATTTAATTATTCCTTCTTTCCTTGTCCTTTTCTATCTTTCTTTTTTTATCCTTTCTTCTTCGTTTCTTTCTTTATTCATTGCTTCCTTTCTTCCTCTACCTTTCTTTCTTGCTTGTCTATTTCTTTTATTTTCTTTCTTTTTTCTTCTTTTTCTCTTTCCTTGTCCCTTTCTTTTTTACTTTTTCTTTTCATTCTTTATTTATTATTTTTCCTTGTCTCTTTCTTTTCTCCTTATTTCCTTCTTTCTTTCCTTCTTTCTTTGATTCCTTCTTTCTTAATCTAAAAAAAAATAATTCAAAATGCCTCCGCATTTTCAGGAAATGAGTTGGTAGGACTGTATTTAAAGTGGCTCCCCATACGGCAATTTTCACAAGCAAAACAAAATTTAGTGTATCTCGAATTTTCGCGTTGACCCTTCAGGTTCTCTATACTGATTGCTGAGAATTGAGACATCGTTTCATGTAAGATCAATCTATGACGAAAAAAATCAATTTTAGAGTAAAACACGAACATTAAATTACGTACTCTGAATTTATCTAATAAAGTGAATCTTAAACCGTGAACAGGCAACCATAAAAAACATACAGACCATATATATATATACATATATATATATATATATATATATATATATATATACATCCCACACACACGTGTGTGTGTGTATGTGTGTGTTTGTGTTGGACACACAACAACAATGCTTTCATGTAGGCGAAGTCTTCACCTTAATAATACTTCCAATATTTCTAAATACTTACAACAACATACCAGTCCACACTCAATTCAGAAAAATCCTCGTCGAAAATACCTCAATACTTTTCCACGAAAAGAATGAACAAAAACTAAAAATTCTTGATGCTATTTATATCAAAAAATTGAAACCAAACCTCAATAAAATTAATTACGATTATTCCACAAACATTTTAAAATGTGTACAATAGATAGTCTTTAAATGTCAGCACTTGTCGTTAATAGTTTTTTCTTTATCTAGCAACTCCTAAAGCCCGAAACGTTTTTACAGCATACCTAGTTATCTCCCCTTAAATTCGGTATCTGTCAACCAGACATGACACAGGGTTTGTGACTCCACATATAAAAATAGCAATCTCCGGATGACCACAAAAATTTTTGTCCTTCACAACCATGAACACTAAATACTTACTCTATATTTAACAATACCCTGATGATGACATTATACTATGTCGAAAGTAGTCGGAATAAAATGCAATATGAGCCAACACGGTGTTTTCCTCTCGTCTTTTAACTGCACAGAAAAGATAATTCGCGTATACGAAAGGATCTTATCGAAAATAGGTAGACAGAACGTGTCTAAATTATTTAACGAAACCTATCAATATATATATATATATATATATATATATATATATATATATTGGGTATTTGGGCAACAAACGATCTTTTATACAAGTTTCGTTAAAGACGATTGAAAAACTTCCACGAAAAGCTTTTTATTTAATTTTTCTTGTGTTCGCACATGTGTTTTCTTTTTTGGACACAAAGTGTGTAAGACTTTTCAAAAGTTCTGCATAGCCGAGCGCTTTCGGCTATTCTTTTAGCAATTATCAAGGACGATTTTTACTTTTTTCTTTATTTTTAACTGAATGTGTGAGTTTTTTATGTATGTATCTGAAGTTATACGAGTCTTTTATTTTCCAAAACACGGTCAGCGCGTTGTGGCCGTGTTCATATTGTTTTTGAGTGTTGACTTTGCTTTTTTTATTGTTAGTGCTCCCATTATTTTTAATATCTTTTTACATGTGGATGAGGCTATTATACTTGTAGTTTTTACTAGTATGTTGCGGACAGTGCTGGTCGGTTTTCGTGTGTGTTTAAATGACTCCTAATTGAACTATGGTCAGATAGGTGTAACTTGAGTCGTCTACATAAGCGTGTAGTGGTATGACTAATATAATTATTTATGTGTTTAGTTTGATCAGGAAAACAGTTCCTTAAGGGGCATTTGAACTCCTAAATAATTTTAGTTCTCTGTAATTTAGATATTGCAGGTGATGATAAGGATAGCTATTTTAAATATTTGTAGTAGAAAATTAATTTAATTTTCTTCTTCTGGTCGATGGTAGTTTTTATATTTCAAGGTGAAAATTCGTCTTGCTTATTGTTTCCATATATTTGGCTTTTATAGATGTTAATGTTGTTGTTTTTATCTGTATATTTAGTATTGCTTCAGAAAGAAATAGTCTAATCTGGTGGTTGATGAGGTAGTTAAGAAAACCATTGTTAACTAGCGCCTGTTTAACATTATTGAGTTCTTTAAGGAAAAGGGGACGTGAGGATGAATTCTCGTGTCTTCTCTTGTGGAAATTTTTATAACTACTATTTTATATCTAAGTGGGCATTTACTCTTAAAATTAAGTTTCTGCTCGTGGATTTTTTTGTATAACGAATTGATTAATGTGTTATTAGAAATAATGAGGAGTAATGGATAGGGGCTCAGATTGAGGAATCGGAGAGCCGAGTTCGAATTCCAGTCAAATCCATTGCATTCACTTACATGTTAATACCCTTGAGAAAGGTATGGATCCTCTTCTTAGCAGGACAGACTTTGGATGGCAACTGGTCTACCACAGAAAGAAATGGCAATCTACTGCGGGAAAAAAACATCTGCCTCGTCAGTCATGTATCGAAAGATACAAGATCGCCTAAGCGTGTATCACGCATGACACATAACTGACTCACTGAATATGATATTGCTGAACGAACGTCTAAAAATGGGAGTTTTCTTTCATAGGACACAGTTTTATTCGAATATGGTTTTTAGATTATCAATTCCTTTTTGTTTCCGATGGAATAAATATTATATATATATATATATATCAGGGGAAAAGTAATGACAAAGTGACAAAGAAAAAGTTTTCGTATGACGCGTATTATTCTTTAGGACGTCATTAATATTTATGTTGCTACTGCACATGCGCACGAATGAGAAGGATGCTAAGAATTTTAAATTTAAATTAAAAAAAATTAATATATATACTCTATATATAGTCTAGTCGATTTCATTTAGTTTATTTTTATTTTTGTTCATGTTACCATCAATTTTATTATTAAATACTAGCAGTAGAGCCCGGCATTGCCCGGGGATGTAACAGTAAGTGATAGATCAAGATAAAGACTGAAAAATAAAATTGACAAAGATTATTGTTTAATGTTGACGGACACGCATGTCTTAATTAGGTTTTTTTTTTTTTTTTTTTTTTTTACGAATTGGTCAAACCCAAACTCAAACAAAAACATTGTTTTCAATCGTTATGAGTCTACCGATTGAATAGAATTTTACTATAAACAATTGTCTTGTAAATGGAATTTTTAAAGCATTCTCAATGTAAAAATAAAGAAAAAAGTGTGCAAGACAATAAGAAACACTACATGCAAAAAAAAAGCGAAGTTTTGTTGAAATCGGCTGAAAAATGTGGGAAATCCGAAAACGAACACAGACACACACTCACAAACAACCGGGGTTTTATACGAATAACTCGATGTGAGTTGTCCCCCTTTCATTCTCGCGATGCCTCTTCATAGTGTTTTCAAATTGATTTCTTGCAAAAACAATTGTGTTTTTACTATTTTTGGCACTGTCAGAACCATCGGAAGGTAATTTTACGTAGTCCTGTGAAGTTTTGTTGAAATCAGTTGAAAATTGTAGGAAGTCCGATCTCATATATAAACGAACAAACACACACACACACAAACAACCTGGGTTTTATAATAAGTATAACTCGATATGAGTTGTCCCCCTTTCATTCTCGATAGCGATGCCACTTAATCGTGTTTTCAAATAGATTTCATGCAAAAATAATTATATATATATATATATATATATATATATAGGAAAACGGTATATAATTTCATTTCTGTAGTTCACTGCTACCAGCAAGCAGAATTTTTTTTTCTCCTGATGATGGCCATGTTGGACGAAACTAGTCGAGGAATCTAAATGAAATAATAATAAAAACGAAAGAATATTAATATACAACCCAGTGTGTCTGAAGATTTTAATTTTTCAATATTTTTATTGTTCAATTTATATATATATATATATATATATATATATATATAACGTGTATATATATATATATATATATATATATATATATATATATATATATATATATATATATATGTATATATATATATATAATAACGTAATGGTAACAAATCGCTATATAATCCAAGTGGATCCTAGTAATATAATATATTAAAACTGATTCACAAAAAAAGCTCCAAGTTTTTGTTATTACTGAGCAAATAATTGATAAACAATAAAATCCAAAATCACCTCATACGTGGAATAGCCTATTTCGGTAGACGAAAATATATGTCGTCTGTGTTAATCCTGATATGACTCCATACCACGGTTGATAAAACAAACGACCTATATTTTGGTTTGCCGAAATAGACTATACCCCATATGAGGTAATTTGTGATTTTATTGTTTATATATATATATATAGTCGGCTTTATCTGGTATCCAAGAATTTAATGTCTTTGGTGATCGCTTCCTTTAATGATGATGATGGTGTTGATAACTAAATTCTTCTGCCAACGTGTAATTTCAGAACTAGATGCTTCCAATTTTCCTAAAGCCTGCTAACGTCATCCATTCCCTATCGTCGGTTGGCTTTGGATGGGTTCGGTGGAGGTGAAAAGAAAATCAGAGTAGAAGAAAGTGCTGATGGTGTTAATGTTTTTAAGGTGGACTAGACCTTACCAGGAAGTAGCCCACGCACTTGATTTCATGGCCCTCCCCTGTGTTACATACGGGATGAGACATGCAGTATGAAGTTATGAAACTGCAACGGACCAATTCTGTTATAATTTTGAGTGTCGCCTTTTGTAGCATATCCCACACGTGTCGCCCTCTACACCCGCTTGTTTATCTTTTGAGATCTGTTGTGATCATCATCCTCTTGTTCCAACGTTGAGGCCTTTGGGATGGGTCGCACTTAGTCTGGGTCCTTGTCTTCGACCTTGGTAGTGTGGCCCTACAAAGAACTCCCGACGGCATCACTCTCAGAGTCACTGGACAACGCATGTCCTTCCACCACGGCAAGTAGTGACCTTCAGAGGTCTTTTTCTATAATAATGATAATAATAATAGATTTTCTGTTTATACGTTATCATTTTTAATAGATACAAGTTATTGAAGTAAATGCTCTCTTTTTTTTTAAATAAATAGTATTAATTAAATTTACCGGCCTGAATATTCGGAAAATTTCGTAGAAAATATGCGTTCTCCGGCTGGAATTGAACCTGTATCCTATACGGAACCGTCAAATGATCTGGCTAGCTATACTACTCAGCTACAGAGAAGCGTCCGGTTAGTATAGTCCAAATTACTGTTTATAAACAACGAATCTGCTCTGCTCACGAAGCGTACCTTAACGTAAATATTGACAACATATTATGAAATGGATTTAATATGTTTTCTGTTTATGACTTAAAAATTTTTTTAAGTAAATGCTCTGTTTTTTTTTTAAACAGTAATTTGGACTTTGCTCATATATTTTTATAATAAATAACGAGTTTAATTAGTTTATTTTGTTGCTAGGTGATATGTATCTATGCATTAAGATTCTTATAATTTTTGTCTGATTTCTAGTTACTTGGCTCAAATTGAATCATTTAATAGTATTTTTTACATTATTTTTATCATTTTTTCTGATGTCTGTTTAATTTGCTCATCGGCTATGTAGTTAAAGAATTTGTTGTTCTTTTCTTTTATGGAGTTCATCAAGTGATATTTTGTGTGTCGAGGATATTAAATGTGTGCTTATTCAGGAGTTCAATGTTGTAGTCAAGTAGCTGTGGGTTTAACTTGTTGTTTTTTACAAGCGGAGGTTTTAAAGTTTTCCCTATTAAAATTAATTACTGCATCTAAAAAAGGAATGACATTTTACTTAATATATTTTTTTTTATTTTAGTTGTACAATATCTTTTGAAAGTAGTTGAAATTCGTGTAAAAAATGTGTTTCTTAATGAATATACATAGTTTAATTAAGATTTGTTGATTATCTGAAAAAAAAAGACAATTTTTTGAATATATATATATATATATATATATATATATATATATATATATATATATAGTGATGCTTCCTCCGTACCTAAATGGTATAGCACGTCAGGCCAATTGACGGTTCCTGCCTGAAGACACATATTTTCTCGGAAATTTATTGGACATTCAATCCGGTAAATGTAATTAATGCTGCTTATTATAAACAGGGCATTTACTTAAATAATTGTATCCATAAAAATAACGTATAAACAGATTATATATATATATATATATATATATATATATATATATATATATATATGGGAAATAAAATACACTGAGATAGATAGATAGATAGATAGATAGATAGATAGATGATAGGCAGGTAAATATGTAGATAGAAGCTGGATTAGAAAGAAAGAAAGAAAGAAAGAAAGAAAGAAAAATGACTGAGATAGAAACTAAACTAGAAAGAAAGAAAATGAATTAGATAGAAACTAAATTAGATAGATAGATAGATAGATAGATAGATAGATAGATAGATAGATAGATAGATAGAAACTAAATAAGAAAGAAAGAAAATGAATTAGATAGAAACTAAATTAGAAAGAAAGAAAATGAATTAGATTTCGTCTTGATCACAGATAAGACAAACTATTTACCCCGTAAATATTTCATCAATTTTTAATAAATTGTTCGTGTAAGGGAAGACTGTTAAACATTAAAATAGATTATTTGTAGGTCTATATATAGAAAGTCCGCTCTAAGAGTAATCACTTACTGTCTGAAGATCCATTGAATTGTATAAATGACAGTCAATATGCAGTATTGTTTTCGATGTCCATAATATATCTGTGGGCGTACGTGCACGCGCATGTGTGTGTGTGTGTGTGTGTGTGATATAACATAGTATGATATAAAAATGCGTGCTAGGCAAGTGTGTTTCATTGAATTTCACAACGCGGAAGATTGCGATGTTGGGTTGTTTTTCAGACACTCGAAAATTCGAATAATTTCAAGTCTCAAAATAGCTTCTTCAAACAATCTGTTCGAATTCTCTGAACTTTTTTCACTCAACGCTGAATGGGCCGAGAAGCAGAACTAACTTGGAGTCGTATTCATCATAATCTCGTTTCAAACGTGATTGTCGTTATTTCTCAGCGACAGAAGAATAACAAGTCAGTTGACATGTTGATTTTTTAGTTTGTCCCACGTCGACAACAAACTGCAAATGTGACATGTGCCAGCAAAACTTTATCTTTCCAGCAGGCGTGCTCTTGAAATTTCCCAGCATTTTTTTTTCATTTCTCTTGCCCACCCATGAACGCTTACGGATCAGACTCGGACATAAAAGCAACGGAATGTTTCCTAGGAAGAGTAAAAATTCCACACCGACATCTGGCTCACTAAAGTTGGTCACATGTCGAAGTAGGATTTTCCACAAAGATATTTTTTATTTGGATTTTTTTTTTTTTTTTTGCATTAAGCAGTCATAATTAATTAATGAGGGTTCTTATTATCTTAGGGGGCATGTACCTTCAGTACGTGGTGGTGAAGAGTGCCGATCATAATTCCGAATCTTAAAATCCCGAATATCGAAATCCTGAAATTTAAAATCAGGAAATTTGTAATCCCGAATTTATAAAATCCCGAAAGATCAGAACCCCGAAATTCAAAATCCTGAAAGATGAAAATCTCGAAACTTAGAATCTTGAAATTTAAAACCCCGAATTTATAATAAAATCAAAGATCAGAACCCCAAAATTTAAAATCCTGAAATTTAAAATCCCGAAAGATCAAAACCCCGAAATTTAAAATTCTGAAAGATCAGAACCCCGAAATTTAAAATCCTGAAATTTAAAATCCCGAATTTATAAAATCCCGAAAGATCAAAACCCCGAAATTTAAAATGCTGAAAGATCAAAATCCCGAATTTATAATAAACTGAAAGATCAGAACCCCGAAATTTAAAATCCTGAAAGTTAAGAGCCCCGAAATTTAAAATCCTGAAATTTAAAATCCTGAAAGATCATGAAACCGAAATTTAAAACCTGAAAGATCAACATCCTGAAATTTAAAATCCTGAAATTTAAAACCCCGAATTTATGATAAACTGAAAGATCAGAACCCCGAAATTTAAAATCCTGAAATTTAAAATCCCGAATTTATAAAATCCTTAAAGATCAAAATTCCGAAAAATAGTCTTTTGGAAGAAATTGAAAAAGAAAATTTTGGAAATACCTTTATTTCTAAACATTCATAAAATAAGGTTTAAATATTGTTTATACATTTCAAATATTCAAAATACATTAAAAATTATAAAACCAGAATCTGGCAGCGGCGACGGGAAAATTTAGTAAGTTCATGTCGATGCTTATCGTATTATTGGAGAGTTTAAAAAAAAGCAGTGGCATGTATAAAACGAATGTGAACGCATTCTCCGCGAAGAGTCTTGTCCAAAAAGGAAAAAAATGTGTTTTATCGTGATGAAAGGCTTAAAAATATAGTTAAGGATCATGAAAACCATTCAGATCTTATAGACTATCTTAGGGCTCTTGCTCATAAACTTTCACCATATATATTCATATATTCTGGTTTCATACTTTTTACTGAATTTTGGATAATCTACTATTTAACCCATAGCTCAAAGGGGAGAAGATATGGATTCATACCTTTCCCACGTAAGTGAATGTAGCGAACCCAACTAGATTCGAACTCGGTACTCCGATTCATTAATCCAAGTCGCTATCAATAACAACACCACATATCCACACACACACACACATATATATATATATATATATATATATATATATATATATATAAGAAATGGACAAGGTCCGATAAATTTATTTATTAAAGACATATTTTATATATAATTTTTAACGTCGTTATGTTTTTTTATAGATACAAGTATTTAAGCAAATGCTCTGTTTATGATAAACAGTATTAAATAACATTTACTGGCCTGAATGTCCGAGAAATTTTCATAGAAAATTTTCGTTCTTTGACAGGATTCGAACCTGCAGAGATACGAATCTCGTACATTCATAACTGCTCTGGCGTATCGAATGTAAACAAATGACGTCATATATTTCTTTCTATGAAAAATTTCTCGGACATTCAGGCCGGTAAATGTTATTTAATACTGTTTATCATAAACAGAGCATTTGCTTAAATACTTGTATCTATAAAATAACAACGTTAAACATAAAATATGTCTTTAATAAATAAATTGTCGGACCTTGTCCATTTCTTAATATATGACGTCATTTGTTTACATTCGATACGCCAGAGCAGTTATGAATGTACGAGATTCATGGAAAATTGAGTTTATAAGGTAAATTCGACCTTGTGTCAATGAGCGCTTCTTTGTAGCCTAAGCGGTAAGGCACGTCAGCGTAAATGACGGTTCCGTATATATGGATGGTTCGAATCCTGTCAAAAGAACGAAAATTTTCTATGAAAAATTTCTCGGACATTCAGGCCGGTAAATGTTATTTAATACTGTTTATCATAAACAGAGCATTTGCTTAAATACTTGTATCTATAAAATAACAACGTTAAACATAAAATATGTCTTTAATATATATATATATATATATATCCCAAAAAGTCGCTTGAGAATGGAACGGAGTATGGTTTAAATTTAATTTTATAATTAGTTTCTGTTTTTTTTAAACATGGTAATTCCTGGGTTGCGACGGAACCATATTTTTAAAATAGAAAATAATTATAATATTATGCTCTACTGTGGTTTCAAAAAAAATAATTAATAAGAATACTGGATTGTAATTCTTACTGGTCCTTTTTTATATATATATATATATATATATATATATATATATATATATATATATAATCCTAGTATTTAAATTTACCAGTAACTGAAAAATTGGTCAAATCGTGTAACAGCAAAATTGTCCAAATGTTCAAATGTTAGATTAAGCTCTGAACCATTGTATCTTAGAACTGATTAAAGATATTTTACTGGAATATTCTGAAGTTTTTAGAACTCTATTGGATTCTCCTTTGAGCAAGAAGAATGTATAAATACTATCCAAGCTTAACAGAAGAATCCTGATGAAATCGATCATGAATCAATCATCGCTAAGCTCATGAAGTATTGAAATAAATTTCAAATATATATATATATATATATATATATATATATTCCAGGATCCTTTTCAAACTTAATCAAGATTATCTTCGTCCTCTCTAACCGTCTAAACTTCTGTCCTGGTGTAACAAGCTGCCTCACACGTTTTACGTTCGATTTTCAAGTCTTTGGAATGACACGTCCCAAATGTTTATGAATTGAGCTGGATCTTGGCTAATTGATCTCTTTAGCTCTAAGTTGAAATGATGGTCCCCCTCCTGATCCAGTTTTCCTCTCTACAGTTCCTTATTTTTTAAACTTATTCACCGTTCTCTTGATGGTTTCTGATGGAAGCCAGAGTATGAATGTTGGTACCATTATTGAATGCCTGAATGATCTTTCAGGGATTCTAACGAAAAATAGTGTCAAGACGGCTAAACATCTTATCTTAAAACCCGAAAAAAAAGTGTTTTTTAGATATTAAACACTTTGTGGGGTGGATAATTACATTCTTACATGATTTGTACAATTTTGCTGTTACACCCTTGTTGAAACTTGACTAATGCATGGAATAATAATACAACACAAAATGTACTTAGAACAAAATGTATTGAAACAAGAAAGTGTACACAATATTTACATATAGTCTTTTGTATATTCTTGGGAAGACCGTTCCTGGAGAATGTGTTGACTTAGTCGCAGTCGGGCAGAGTCTCTGGATTGAATCTCTTGATTCCTCCCTCGTCTTCCCGGTACCAACCATATTTATATGGTCGGTACTCACTATGCAAATTAGGTGGATCCTACCACAACAACCCTATATATATATATATATATATATATATATATATATATATATATATATATATATAAAAGTCATATTTAGACAGCAAGTATTCATCCAAACAAGTAGAATTAAAAAAGAACCCACAAGAACTGTATTAAGTTTTTAGATTAATTTAATTTTTTATTGATAAATGAATAAATTCAATTCTTTTTCGTGCGGACTTATTCCTAGTAGCCGTTACACATGACGTCATGCTAGAGCATTTCAAGCGTTCAGCTTCCCAAAGAATATCAGCGTCCAGATAAAAGAATACTAACTACCACATTGACACTACATCGGGTTACTGATAATGACTGCAAAAGTCGAAAGTACTTGAACAAAACAGGAACTTCGGATAATTTATCCACAAATTTGAGCACAATCCTCAACGTTTTATTGGAAAGCTAGAAAAATACAATAAAAAATTAAGCAGAAAGACATTGTAGGTTATTTCTAATCAAATTATTTGGATAATTACCATTTCAACATCTTTCATATCAGCTGTAAACTATGATGATAGTATTTCCGAGGACTGTATTTGCTAACAGTCGCCTTGCAATCTCCAGCATCATATCGTGATTGGAAGGTGCCAGATTCTACCTAAGTAGCAAGATCAAACTACATATGCACAAGTTACTGTTTGTTCCTTGTGGAAAGAAATATGCAAAAAGAAAAAAGAAAAAGAAAAAGGAAATGACAAATATATATTAAAAAAAAAAAGTCACAAAACTGTTGGCATAGATTGATAGAACTTTCTGCTATTTTTCATAGAGACAGAATATAATGGCAGTTCGTGAGACTGCCTTTCACAAAATAGCAGCTGATGAAATGTAGGATCAAGTTAACAATCTCTAACGCTCCCCAGGAGATTTGATCAGATAAAGCGAACACTATCGCACTTGTGCCTCGCGTTAAAATGATTATTTCTCTAATCTAAAAAAAAAAAACGCCTCCTTCTCGACATATGCAGGAATACAAGCAATAAACACGTGCATTATTCTGGATGATGGTGAGGCTGAATTCAGTGAAAAAAAAATCTTTATTTTATTTTTTTTTTTTTTTTGAGGTCAAGAGATGGATGCATGTCAAGTTTTGTTCTGTTGAAATTTCTAGTCTCTTGAGATATGTTAGTGATTCTATTACGGGCTTTCCATTTGTTCATTCAACTTGCCAGAGATTTGATTACTTTCTGAATGTTACTAGGTCAGGAGGTTGAAGGACAGGCCGGCTAACAGGTCGGGAGTTTGATGAGCCGATTGGTTTTTGTAATCGGAAGGCGTTTATACAAATATGCTTCAGAGAAAAGGAAAATTTCTGCAAAAACAAAACAAACATATTAGGAATGTACACTCGTCTTGATACCAAATATATATATATATATATATATATATATATATATATATATATATTACCTATATATATATATATATATATATATATATATATATATATATATATATATATATATATTAAAAAGAAAAATCGAGAAGTATAAGCAGTCAATTTCTGATATCCCCTGACGAGTGCAAGTAGCGATTCCCGGAGGGTCCGTCTACGGAACTCTGATGTCGGAAGGTAACATTAATCAATTAAGTGACAAACCTTTTATTTCTATTAATTCTCTCTCCCCCTCTCTCCCTCACCTCTCTCTCTCTTTATATATATATATATATATATATATATATATATATATATTACACCACCCCATATATATATAATTATTTCGTCTTCAAGTGTTAACTTTAAAGGAAAAAAATACAGCCTGATGATGGTCATGGTCTTCGAAAGTACTTGCTTAACTTAAAAAATATACACTAGAAACATCTGACAACAGTTTTATAAATGAGTATCACATCATTCAATGGATTGACAGTATTTTAATGCATACATTATGTTCTACTAGCGAAGTGATTTCGCCATTAATCGCATTAATATTGCTGATTGACTCTATGTATGATTATTTTATATATATATATATATATATATATATATATATATATATACATACATACAAATATAGATAACTATACTCGTTTCGAAAAACACTCGAATTTTTGATTTGCCAATAATCAAATCAATCTCGAAGGACAAAAAGGTTTTAAAAAAAGAAAGAGTTAGAAACATGAAAGTCTGTCGACAAAAATCGCACAGATACAGGTTTGAAGCTCAAAGAAAAAAACCCGATACGAGTAAACAACTAACAAACAAAAGAGCTCAATACAACCGTAGAGCAGGCCTAGATAAACCTAGTGAGCCAGACAAACCTACCTAGGTTTCACCTAAACGGATCGTCAAGGAAAGTCGGCTAAAGAGGCAATGGGAAACGCTTATTTATTGGCGATAGCCAAAAATACCATATGACCAAAAAAGAAAAACACAAACACAAAACCAGTAATATATAATTTATAATAATAGTATTTATAATAAATATACATTTTTCTTCATCGGTGGCACATCTCTCAATTTCATGCACAACACAGTTGTCAGGTGCTGACTGAGTAATGACTTACATACATACATATATATATATATATATATATATATATATATATATATATATATACATTTACAGGCCTTTTAATTGGTCAGTTTTCAATCACCACCTGATAGTTGCGTTGTACATGAAACGCACAGTTGTGCTACAGATGAGAAAATGTATATTTATTCTTATATACACATCACATATTGTTATAAACTTAGGTGATAATATACGCTCATATGAACGTATTTGAAGCTAAACTCCGTATATACGTGTGTGCGTCCATTATATATATGTAATATAGCAAATTACTTCTGACCAGTTACTTACCTTGGTCGAGTAGGCCACAGTAAAACCCTGGGAATCAGAGGTTCTTGGGGCTTTGGCCCGGCTTGCATTTCATAAATACTGGACAGCGGGGTGTGAAGCTCGGTTGGATTTGTGCAAAAAACGGAAGTTGAAAAGGGCAGTAAATATTTGTAACACCAGGATGGGGGCCAGATGTTTTTCTTGGCGCGATTGTCTTCCCATAGAAGAAGAAGAAGAAGAAGAAGAAGAAGAAGAAGAAGAAGAAGAAAAGAAGAAGAAGAAGAATTGATATAAATAAGATAAAAAAGGACAAAGTAAAAGGTTGGGAAAAGTGAATAAAAATGAAGGAGAAAAGATGGTAAAAGCTAAACAAATTATAAATAAAAGAGGATGTAATATTATGGAGCTGTAAAAGAAAGAAAGAAAGAAAGAAAGAAAGAAAGAAAGAAAGAAAGAGCAACAAATCAGATAGAAGAAAGAAGGAATAAGATGAAGGATAAATAGATAAGATGATGAAAGAAAGAAAAACAGCAAATAAGAGAAAAGAGAAGAAAAAATGAAAGAAAGAATAATAAGATAGATGACAAAGAAAGAAAGAAAGAAAGAAAGAAAGAAAGAAAAAATGAAAGAAAAAATGAAAGAAAAGCAGCAAATAAGATCGATGATAATTCAGTAAAGTGAAGAAAGAAAGAAAGAAAGAAAGAAAGAAAGAAAGAAAGAAAGAAAGAAAGAAAGAAAGAAGAGGCAAAATAGAAACGTATTGGAAAGAAAATGAAGAAAGGAGTAGAAAATAAAGAAATCTCGGGAAAAAAAAAAAGAAAGAAAATCTAAATAATAATAATAATAAATCTAATGATAGTAAAAAAAAGAAAGGTAGGATAGAATGGATGAGTGAAGGAAGGAAGGAAAGAAGGAAGAAAGAAAGGAAAGGAGAAAAGAAGAATTAGGAGGAACATGAAGGAATATAAAAAGGGAGGGATTTACAGAGAAAAATAATGTGAGCTATAAAAAAAAGTAGATGGAAAGAAGTTCATTAAAGAAGAAGATAATTATATAGGGAAAGAAAGAGACGAAAAGTAAAGTGAAAAAGACAAACAAACAGAGAATAAAAAAGATAAACAAAAAGTCGTAGAAGAAAAAGAAGATCGCAAAAAAAAAAAATTCAAAGGAAATCCTAACTTGACGCTGAAGTCAGTTTGTATGTTGGACCTGAATTCGCCGGCTGTGATGGTTGACTGAAGACGATAAAGAGGGGAAAAAAGAGAGCTATTTCCAATGTTTATACGTCATGCAAGGCCTGTTAGCCCGATCACATTATCCTTGACTATGGACGACGTGGGAAGAAATGATGGTTGTCCCTTTGCGTTGACCAACAAACTGAAGGTCTGTCTGAAAAAGGAATACTATGGCCAAATCTTGTACGGGCGAAAAATAAATAAATATCTGTCGGAGAGAACTTGCCGGCTTCTTAGCATCGAACAACCCTGACTAAAGGATTCTGTTACGGCCAAGAACAGAATTCCGGGGACACGACGTTTTTCGCCCCCAACCGGTATCACATAAGGAAATCTGGATTCGTTGCTGAAAGGAAGAATGACTGAATCTGGGCTGAAGAGGGAATAACTGATTAGAAATCCAAATGGTTATCACAGAGCTGAAAAAGACTCATATTAATTGCACTGGTTCAATTAATTTTACATGTCAAACCTTATTGGGCTTATGATAGGTGGCCAGATATAAGGAGTGATGTGGTCGCAGAAACTGTCTGACAGCCATGACTGGGTTCTCCTATTTGTGTGGCCTGGTGCCGAGTCCTATAGCCGGACATAGGATCTTCCAGCAGCCTCCCTCTTGATCCAGGGCAGCAATACCTCTTCAAGGTACTTGATATAGGCCTCTGTGTTGAATCTGAGGCCCTGTGAGGAGATGGATGGAAGCATAATGTTGCTATCACTAGTGATCACTCCAAACGAGTTTGTAATCACCATTAGAATCATCTCCACTGTCCTCAGATTGGCATCCAAACACTGAAATATTGTTATTTCAAATTTTTTAATTTATTCGTTGTAGTTATGGAGGTTTGGGTAAAAGAAGCGTTTCAATATAAAGGAACTGATAAGAAATGGGTAGAAATCTAAAATGCCAATAGATGTTATATGCACTTTATTATGTTGTTACTATATTCGTAATAAATTTTGTTGAGTGTTGGTTGGTTGCTTTTAATATAGAAGGCCTCGAAAATTTGAAGTTTATCTTTATTATTTTCATGGTGTTGTATATTCGTGTTGTACACGCACTTTCCTATATCGTGAAGATGGACAGGAATTTATTTTTAAAATGTTGGGCAATAGAACTTGTATCCAACAAATGAAGTGTAAGACGTCTTGATAATGTTGTTGTCGTCAAACCAACATATGCACTTAATTTTTGGGGGCGGAGATACAATCTTCCAAAGGACATTTCAACCTATATACAATATTGGTCTTTTACAAAACACTAGTTCACGGAGAAGCGTTATTACCTATAATGAAGTTGGTTGTGTTAAATTTAGTATAATATACAACATACTTTTCGAATGAAGATATCCTGCCTTTAAATATATATATATATATATATGTGTGTGTGTGTGTGTGTGTGTGTGTGTGTGTGTGATTTATCTTATCGTAATCCGACCCGCCACGTTACACTCATTGTAGCGAACTACCCTCATTCCCTTCGTATTCCATTGGTGAGATGTAAGTTCCACTCGAGCGGCTTCTTCCCGCGAACCGCTGCTCTGTGAAACCGACTCCCAAGAGTATGTTTTCCCGATCACTACAATCTTAACCTGTTCAGGTTTAAAATTAATTTCATCCCCCCCACACAACACACAGACACATCCGCATAATCTGTGCCTCTTACTCTGTAACACTCTATCTCGAGTGGCTCCTGGGCCTCGTTCAGGGTGGAAAAAAATCGAGGAAGAATTCGCAAAATGAAGAAAGTTGTCCAATATATCAGGTTGGTGCAAAAATAATGACGTAATAATGTCGTTTTTTGACGTTAAATAATACGTTAAAAATACGTCAAAAAACGACATTATTACGTCATTATTTTTGCACCAACCTAATAGAAATGAATAGAAGGAAAAGGATGACGAATATTTGCGTAAAACGTTTGCCAAAACTTGTAGCTCAAAAAAACATCAGAAAAGGAAAAGAGACTCTGAGAAAATCGAAGAAATGTAGTTGAAAGAATTTAAAACAAAAAAAAAAAGAGAGGGAAAGAGAACAGGCGAAATAAACTGATGGATATGAAAAAAGAAACTGAAGACGAAGCCATCGAAAATGGTGGGAATGGTTTTTGAAAGGACGAGAGTTTCTCTTTGACCGTTTTTCCTGTCTTGTCTAAAGTCCCTCGAGAATCTAGCAGACCGCAGACCGATCTCCCATCTATCTTGATCCTTTCTCGGCGGATCAGTGCCAACCCTACAAACGCTTAATTGAAATACCGTCTTTAGAGCAACAATTTGTGTTTGTTAAGAAAATGTTTTTTCACAGTCGACGAGCGAAAAAAGACGATCGAGGGACCAGTAATAGGGTTTGTGGTTGGGCAAGTGTTTATGCGGGGAGCAAGGTGTAGTTTAAAATGACAATGATTAAGGTGAGTCGTTCAGCCAGAAGATGAGGAGAATTCTGGGGTAAGAAGATAAAGACAAATTAGTAAATAAAAGGGCGTTAGATTGAAGACGCAGGTAAATACAACAACAACGACAATAATAATAATAATAACAATAATAATGAAGTCAGAATCAAGAAATATACAATGCTGGTGATGCATAAAGGAAAAACAGGATTCAGTAGAAGGAATACAACTACATCACGAGGGAGTGGAACAGGTAAAGCCACTAAAATACATTGGAATATTGAAAGCAAATTTTATTTAGCAGAGGGAAATGCAACAAAAGGCAAGTAAATACTCATTATCTGTCTATATTTCTAAGATGAGGTATTATGTACACTATTTACATTGTTCGGACTATCGTCCTCATCTTTGTTGCTATATGTATCGCAACGTTTCGGCCGTTGTACGCTCCGGTCTTCTTCAGGTGGCTGGAATGCCGAACTGAACCCTTTATTTGGCTCACTGAGGTAGACTGTTCTAGTTCCACGTGCCATGTCTAATGGATGTCAGCTATCAGTTATCTCCTGGTAATTCAAGGTGTGCCAGGACCCAAAGAGAAAGCTGGAGCGTACAACGGCCGTAACGTTGTGATAAATATGACAACAAAGATAAGGACAATAGTCCGAACAATGTAAGTAAATAATCATCATAAGCATCAACATCATTCTCAATCCAATGCCCGGATGACGTCGTAGATACTATGTGCAGTGGATTTTAGTGGTTGTTTTTGATTAACCGTATATTGATGCGGTAAGAGCATGTTACCCTCCTTGCTATCACGAATGGACTGATCCATTCATGATAAGTAGTCCTGGGTAATTGTCTAGAAGGGAGAAGATTGCAACGACTTGTCTAATTGAGTACTGAATACTGCTATCACGACTGGATTCTGCCGAGTTAAGTATTTTATCTTGCCAGACCCCACATCAAAGCGTATATCAGCCTCTATGCGTTATTTAATTCCAAAGTCTAAAAATTTTAATAATTTTATTTATATATTTTGTTTTGTTTTTTCGATAAGGGTTTTAGTGATACAAGTCTTACTAACTAACCCATAGCTGGGAGGAGGATGTGGATTCATACCTTTCTCAAGGAAAATTGCGTGTAAATGAATATAACGAACCCAACTGGAATTGGAACTCGGTTCTCTAATTAACAATTCTGCACCATTATCCACTACACCACCCGCACAGCACCTGGTATTCCCAAGCGCTATGCCATATGGCCAGGTTCGACGTTCCTTAACTTTGATGATCGTACGAGAACCGGTTTTTCAATGTGATGTGGCCATAGGCTTCTGTATAGTTGAGCAACCGACCAGCTCCCTTCTTATGTCTCAGTTGCGTACCAATGTTTGAGTCTAAATAAAATGACTTTCCAGTCCACTCAGTGATGTTCTCTGTTCATTCTTTTATTTCTCTTCTTCTTTGGCACAAGGCGTTACCTTGTAAGATGGCGATAACATTTCAACATTTGTCTGTAACATTTCAACCGTCTCTTCATGTCGGTGATTCTATAGCACCGGCCCACGAGTGTGGACCCAGAAGGTAACCTCAGAGTCACCAACCGCTTTTTTTGAAGCTCTAATGTGACACTGAATACAAATCTTACCTTAGAGTATCTTATAGCGACCCAACTACATAATGGGGCAACCACAAATCAACTCCTCTTAGGGCGAAGCTATTATATTCGATTCCGACTTCTGATGTTTCCCAGCGTGAATTACATGCTGAATTTGAAAAGAAAATTCAAAAAGTAATTTTTTTTAAATTAAATAAAATGCGTATGTTAAAACTGGTAGAAAGTAATAGACGAAATTACTTCAAGAGAGAAATGAAATTCCTATTTAAAACAACACCGAACAAGTCCATTAATACAAATAATAGGAGATACAACAAAACAGTAAATATTGTCTTTGCGGAGACAAAGATGAGAATATCAGAGATTAAAAGGTGGTAAATCTCTCATATGAAATTCTGAGAAGAGAAAAACCCTAAAAACCGAACTTTTTTTTTTCTATGGATAGTTGTCTCCATACAAAAATTCGCATTTCATGCCAGACAGGACCTGACGTTAAACATGTCTTAATTTTTTCTGCTGGGCTCTACCAAGTCGCGCAGAACACCGCAGAAGTTATTATTTCGTGCCTGTTTTGGCTAAATCCTCGCCCGCAGGTGTATCTCCGTGTACCTATTAGCCAGACGCTCCGCTGCTGATTAGGATTATTTTTATTTTTTTATTCTGAATCATTTGAAAATGCCAAAGAGAGCAGCCAATTCCCTTATAGGAAACAAATGATTTCATTTTCTATCTCGCCTACCATTCCAAGAAACAAAAATGTGCGAATTCCGAGAAGCATCTTAATACAGGTGTTTCAAATAAGAATTTGTGCACCTGGGATAACTTAATGCAACAATATAGATAAGAAAGACTACAAATTAGATATGAATGGGTGTGAGTGGTGATCCACTTAGACATAACTCTACTTGTCTACTGCAGGGTAAAGATGAAAGAAAAAGAGATTGCCAAGAAAATGAAACATGAAAGTTACATACGTGCCCATAATTTCGAGAAAACTCAGAACCTTGATTCGGAATATATCAGATTAGTTTTGATGAATTAGAAATTCCATGAATATCCGAACCTGTCCATGAGAAAGACGATGGAAATTTGAAGAAACTTGCTTGCACTCAACCTAACTAAGTGACTCCTGATAGAAAAACGTAAATAAATAGCATAGTATTATGGATTCTTCCGCCCATTTCGTCATGAGGTCCCAACAGTTCGTATTTTTTTTAGACGAGAACCATAAACTAATTCAATTATTATGGCGACAACGATTCAATTATTATGAAGAAGGGTTATGTAGAAACATCCACACGTTTCCAATGAACTGACAAGAGAAAAATGGTGCACAGTGTGCTGTGAAGTCTATAAACAACACTTCTTAGATTTGAATCTAATTAGTTTTCCTCCTCCTAGACTGGCTGCCAATCAAAGCAAGAAAGCCCAATCTGCCCTGATATTTAATCCATAGGTGGAGGAAAATTGATTCATGCCTTTTTTAAGGGCATTACTTCGAAGTGAACGACACAGGACCAACCTGACTTTGAAATTAGGTTGCCGATTCCACTTTCCGTATCGGTAACTGTTACGCTACCAACACATTTACATGACATACTGATAATAATATTAAAAATGAACATGACTGGGTGGGAAGTGTTACCTACTGAGAATTATGCAAACAGCTTAGATTTGACGATGCAAATCAATAGCATATATAGAAAACAGAATCTGTTTCAGGAAATGAAAACAAATTTTCTGGGATTTTGGAAGATTTCAACGGATCGCCTAGTCAATGTCAAATCAGATCTAATTATTATTATTATGTCTGGTAGAGGCTTTCGCTTTTCCAGAAGACCACAGTAAAACAATTTTCGTGTTGATTTTGATCTGAGATCAATACGAAAGTTCAGATCTACAAGGCTCTTGTTAGGACAATCTTTCTCAACGGCTGTGAGACGTGACCGATGTTATTCGACGTCACAAGCTCGAGGTATTCGACCCCTTCTCTCGGCTGAAAACACTTCTTGTCGAACGCCGCTGTCCGCACTCGTTGCCAAATTTGGTCTCCCCCCCCTCCGCCCCAACAAGTTCTACTCACAAGGTGATCTCGGTGGTTTGCTCTTTGCCGACAATCGGACTAATTCACCGGCGAGGCGATTACTCCGGAACCGGCCATAATGTTGGCGGAAGAGATATGGGAGACAGCTAAAAACATGGCTTGAGACTGTTAAAGAAGACGTAGAACCGTTCTTGGGTCTGCGACTGTTTGGGACTCGTCCGTTAGAACCGTGATTAGTTAGCTCTTGCTAACTCATTTGCATCCGATCGCCTAGCTTGGTCAGCTTTCGTTCGGGATGTGGCAATTTCGTTCGTGATGTGGCAATTTCGTTCGGGATGTGGCAAATTCTTTCGACGGAGCCGGCTCAATTGCTTCCGAGCGAATACCACAAGAACAAGAGAACAGTAAAATAAAGAGACCGTGAAATGCCAGATATATATGTGGAGCTTACGTAAGAGCTTTAGAAATTACAGTTGCCCCAGTAGTTATTGGAGCGCTGGGAACGATCACGAAAAAAAAATAGCGAAAAGGATGAAGTAATTGGAAGAATCGAGAACATCCAAACAACAGCACAACGGAAATATTATGGAGACCTGTAGTCATTTAATCAGTAATTTCTTTTCGACAAGATCATAATTTATTAACCTACACCATCTAAGCTGTTGTGTTCGAAGCGGTAAAATCAACCATTGTTCCGGTATCAAATCTGGAGTTTAAGTAAAAATCTTCAAATATTACACCTTCACACGCACATACACACACACACACACACACACACACACACACACACACACACACAATCAGGCCAGTACTCACTGCCCATTGATACATGAAAGTTAAAAAAATAAATTTGAAGAAACGCATAGAATATAACAAATTCAAATTTTTCAAATACTAGAATGATACTGAAAAGTTCTCATCCCGACTAAGAGGCTATTATGTCTGTTCAAATTTTGAGAGGTTGTTTAGCTGAGAATTTTTCAGCACCTCCTCGTCCAAATGTTTATTCGTGCGGCTAGAGTTATTACAATCAGCCATTACTAATCTTAACGTACGCAGAAAATCACTAATACGAAGCACCCAATGAGGTCCGGACTCTCTACTAACGATCAGCCAAACAAACCCGCTGTTAAATCATAATATTATTTTCACAGTTCGCCTTCAAATATATATTTACTCACAATGTTAGCGGTAATGATTTTCTTCTTCTGTACTCCACAACTTCCTTTCATTGGTAGCTCTTAATAAAGTTTGTATTATATAACAGTGCAGAACTCTTTTCATTGTTTCTAACGAAGTTTTCCTGTTTTTTAATCGTCAATTAGCAGTGTGTATCGGAGAAAAACCTTAAACTTTGGATGGGATTTGAACACACACATACTTTACTTGCTGACATCCATTAGACATGGCACGTGGAACTAGAACAGTCTACCCCAGTGAGCGAAATAAAGGGTTCAGTTCGACATTCCAAAAACCGGAAGAAGGCCGGAGTGTACAACGGCCGAAAATGTTGTGATAAACATGGCGACAAAGATGAGGACAATAGCCCGAATAATGTAAATAGTGTACATAATACCTCATCAGAAATATAGACAAAATTAAGCACAGTTTAATTTTGCCGAGAGTACGGAGAACGTAGTGAGGATCGAACTCACTACTCACTCGTAAAAGGTCAAGCAAGGTAAGCCTGCTAACCATTACACCAAGTCAACGTGCGCGTTAAAGAATGAATAGTTTATTCATTATATATGGAGGTGTATACGTGAGTGAGAATAGGTGTGTGTGTGTGTGTGTGTGTGTGTGTGTGTGTGTGTGTGTGTGTGTGTGTGTGTGTGTGTGTACGCTTGTGCCACGAATCCAACAATGAAACAGTCACGGCTCTGGCATATCTCCATAGCGATTAACATTACATAGAGTTTTTCTTTTTAAGAAAAACATAGCGGCAATGAGAATACCAGTTTGAACATATCTATGCGTAAAAATAATAGCTTACCCCATAAATAGCGCCTCGTGTGGTGACACAAACAACAACAATGGGGATAACAGTCTTCAGCAATATACATGGACATATATTTACTTGTCAACGACAGGTTTTCTTTGCCGAAAACTTATGGGTTTCCAGGGTGGACTTGCCACGAAAAACGGTTATTTTGAGTGGAAACAAGAGGAGCTTGTGCAAATAATTTGAGTATTGTGGATAAAATTTTATTTTCGTTTTGTTTTTCCTTACTTTTAATTTTTTTTTCTTTCGCGTAGTGATTTCCTATTTGTCTTTCTGTGCTTTGCCCCGCTTTAGAAAACACTGTAAGTGTGAAATGTCTTGTTACTAGGGGCCAGCATCCAGCGTTAGAGAGGATTTTTTTTTCCTTTTGTTTTCGAATTTCTGTTTGTTATTTAGTAGGTTTATATTGTGTTTATACTTATGGTAAAAAGATGGACATGAGATTGGAAACGAAAGCAACAAACAAACAAACGAAAGCAAGAAAGATAAAAAAAAAGGAAGAAAAAAGGTAGAAAAGAGACGAAGGGAAGGAGAAGATAAAAAAAGAAAAGAAAAACAAGCAAAATAAAAGGAACTATGTAACAAAAAAAGGAAAAAAGAGATTTTAAAAGAAGCAAAGAACCAGAAGAAAGATATAATCAAGAAGAGAGAGACAAAGAGAAGGAAAACGTGACAGAAAATACAAAAGAAAAAAGCTAAGCGAAAGCAACGTACAAATAAATTTTTTAAAAAGAAACATTAAAAAAGAAAGACAGATAAAGAAGAGACAAAGATAAAGAAAATATGAGAAAAAATGAAAAATAAGACGAAAGAAACGAACAAACAAAACACTGAGAAGAGACATTAAAAGAAAGAAAGAAAGAAAGAAACGAATGAAGGAAGGAAGGTTGAGAAGGAAGGAAGGAAGGAAGGAAGGAAGGAAGGAAGGAAGGAAGGAAGGAAGGAAGGTTGAGAAGGTAGGAAGGAAGGAAGGAAGGAAGGTTAAGAAGGAAGGAAGGAAGGAAGGAAGGAAGGAAGGTTGAGAAGGAAGGAAGGAAGGAAGGAAGATTGAGAAGAAAGGAAGGTTGAGAAGGTAGGAAGGAAGGAAGGAAGGAAGGAAGGAAGGTTGAGAAGGAAGGAGGTTGAGAAGAAAGGAAGGTTGAGAAGGAAAGGAAGAAAGAAGGAAGGAAGGAAGAAGAAGGAAGAAGAAAGGAGGAAGGAAGGAAGAAAGCAAAAAGGAAGGAAGGGAAGGAAGGAAGGAAGGAATTGAGGAAGGAAGGAAGGAAGGAAGGAAGGAAAGAAGGAAGGAAGAAAAGGAAGGAAGGAAGGAAGGAAGAAAGAAGGTTGAGAAAAAAAGGAAGGAAGGAAGGTTGAAGAAGGAAGGAAGGTTGAGGAAGGAAGGAAGGAAGGAAGGAAGGAAGATTGAAGGAAGGAAGGGTTGAGAAGGAAAGGAAGGAAGGAAGGAAGGAAGGAAGGAAGATTGAGAAGGAAGAAAAGGTTGAAGGGGAAGGAAGGAAGATTGAGAAGGAAGGAAGGAAGGAAGGAAGGAAGGAAGGAAGGAAGGAAGGAAGGAAGGAAGGTTAAGAAGGAAGGGAAGGAAGGAAGGAAGGAAGGAAGGAAGGAAGGAAGGAAGGAAGGAAGGAAGGAAGGAAGGAAGGAAGATTGAGAAGAAAGGAAGGTTGAGAAGGGGGAAGGAAGGAAGGAAGGAAGGTTGAGAAGGAAGGTTGAGAAGGAAGGAAGGTTGAGAAGGAAGGAAGGAAGGAAGAAAAGATTGAGAAGGAAGGAAGGAAGAAAGCAAGGAAGGAAGGAAGGTTGAGAAGGAAGGAAGGAAGGAAGGTTGAGAAGGAAGGAAAGGAAGGAAAGAAGGAAGGAAGGAAGGTTGAGAAGGAAGGAAGGAAGGTTGAGAAGGAAGGAAGGTTGAGAAAAAAGGAAGGTTGAGAAGGAAGAAAGAAAGGAAGGAATGTTGAGAAGGAAGGAAGGAAGGTTGAGAAGGAAGGAAGGAAGGAAGGAAGGAAGGAAGGAAGGAAGGAAGGAAGGAAGGATTGAGGAAGGAAGGAAGGGAAGGAAGGAAGGTTGAAGATTGAAAGGAAGGAAGGAAGGAAGGAAGGAAGAGAAGGAAGAAAGGTTGAGAGGGAAGGAAGGAAGATTGAGAAGGAAGGAAGATTGAGAAGGAAGGAAGGTTGAGAAGGAAGGAAGGAAGGTTGAGAAGGAAGGAAGGAAGGAAGGAAGGAAGGTTGAGAAGGAAGGAAGGAAGGAAGGAAGGAAGGTTGAGAAGGAAGGAAGGAAGGAAGGAAGGAAGGTTGAGAAGGAAGGAAGGAAGAAAAAAGGAAGGAGAAGGAAGAAAGAAATGAAGGAAGGTTGAGAAGAAAGGAAGGAAGGTTGAGAAGGAAGGAAGGAAGATTGAGAAGGAAGGAATGGAAAAAAGGAAGGTTGAGAAGGAAGGAAGGGAAGAGAAGGAAAAAGGAAGGAAGGAAGGAAGGAAGGAGAGAAGGAAGGAAGGAAGGTTGAGAAAAAGCGCTGAGTCAAAAGTGATGAGGAAAATGGATATAAATTTAAAGAAGAAAAATATTCAAGACGGAAGGAGAGTTAAAAGAAATTTGCAAATAAAGTGATGAAAAATAAAAAAGAAAAACGAAAAAACCAAAAAAATAAAATGTGGAAAAGAACAAAAGAAAAAAAAAAAGAAAGGAAAAGAAAGAAAGAAAGAAAGAAAGAAAGAAAGAAAGAAAGAAAGACAAATAAACAAAACGAAGGAAACAATCATAAAATGTGAAAAGCAAATAAATGAATGAAAGAAAAAAAAGAATCTAATAAAACAAAAGAAAAGAAAATCAACAACACGAAAGAAACGGATTAACAAAAAAGACAACGAAGGAAAACTTTTCAGGAAGATATGGATGAAGAAAGTAACCATCAAAGAAAGAAAGAAAGAAAGAAAAAAAGAAACTTTTTCCTGGAATATATGGAAGAAGAAAGTAACTATCAAACAAGCAAAGACAGAAAGAAAGAAAGAAAGAAAGAAAGAAAGAAAAAAAGAAAGAAAGAAAAGAAAAGAAAAGAAAAGAAAAGAAAAGAAAAATAAATATGGAAGCAAAACCGAGCCATCAAATGCAAAGAGGAAAATCTCTAAAAGTCAACGTAATAAATGGATTAACGAAGGAAAAGTGATAAAAATACTTGATACATATTTTTTTTAACAATAGCACTAATTGTTAAAACTTTTTGTTTGCTTTAGGTTTCCAGTTACTTTTTTCTTCCCATTGAAAGGTGATTGTTTGCTAATTATTTGACGCTTTCTCCTTTTTGCAGAATGTCGAAAACGCAGGCAATTGTCATTGCAGACTTGTGATTCTACACGTGTCCACCCCTTTGTTCCCCTTTAAACAATTCCCCGCTTCATGGCAACCTATTAATATTCGATGACAGACTTTGCATTTAAAAAAAAACCTGCGCAGTAACAATTTGAATGTTATTTGAATATTTAAGATGATATCATAAAAGGCATCAAAGCATTTTATACATACGCACAGACACACACAGACACACACAGACGTATATACATATAGATACATACATACACACACGCACGCACGCACACACACACATACATACATACATACATACATACATATATACACATATATATATATATATATATATATATATATATCAGGTCATCCCAAGTTCTGTCCGAATTTTGAATAAAAGAAAACAAGTGACCAAATGTTACATTTAATTACAGATTCAATCAACAATGTATTTTCCCTGATTATCTATGACTTCCTTCCATCTATTAACAAGCTTACTAATTCCATTATTGTAAAAAAAAAATTGGGGCTTTGATTCGAAGAACTCACAAATGTCAGTTAAAAAAGCTGTTTCTTCCAAATGATTCTGTAAGCTACGAAACAAATGGTAGTCTGAAGGAGCAAGATCGGGAGAATAAGGTGGATGAGGAATTTTCTCCCAACCAAGTTATTCGATCTTTTGTGACGTGATTCTTGCTGTGTGGGGTCGCGCATTGTCCTGATGAAACATCACCCCTTTTCGATTCACTCAAAGTTTGGTTCAAACGCTCTAATTGCTGACAGTATATTTGAACATTAATTGTTGCATTAGGTGGTAAGAATTCAAAGTGGATTATTCCTTGGCGATCCCACCAGATTGTAAGAAGAACCTTTTACCCATGAAGTTCCCTTCTCGGCTGTGGCTGAGGTTCTTCCCCTTTACCAAGCCACTGTCTACAACGCTTAACATTTCGATAAAAGATCCATTTTTCGTCGCCAGTCACAAGTCTATCAAAAAAAGGTAAAACAATTGGCGAGAATGGAGAGAAGAGCAGATGTCAACTCGGGATTTGAGGTTGTTTTCAGACAATTCATGAGGCACCCAAATTCCAAGTTTAGGAACTTTTCCAAGTTGTTGAAGATGACGATGAACAGTTGTATGGTTTGAACTGAGAACCACTGACAATTCCTCAACTGATAAAGCAGGATTTTCTTCAAGGGCTGCTTCAAGAAGCTTTTCATCAAACTCAACTGGACGTCCGGTTCGATCTTCATCTTTAAGGGTGAAATTTCCACCTCTGAATTTTGCAAACCATCTTCTGCAAGTTCTTTCATTCACACATTTCTCTCCATAAATTGAGTGAATGTTTCTAGCTGCTTCGGCTGCTGAGTTTCCTTTCTTGAACTCATAAAGGATTATGTGCCCCAAATGATTCTTGGGTACATCCATGTTAGCAGGATTTTAATCAAACAAAATTTTATTTTATTTTTCTCTGAAATAAAATTTCATCAGTTTAAATGCATCTAAACATAAAAATAATGTTCAGCTCCATTAGACATTATAAAATACTCTTTAAATTTCTTTCATTTTAACAAAGAGTTAAAATTCGGACAGAACTTATGGGATGACCTGATATATAGGAAAGAGGTTATATTTGTTCCAGCGAGAGAAAAGTGTATATTTTAAAAATAAGAGAGAAACCGCAAACGTTTTTGGTTGCAATGTGGAATTTTTGAATATATATATATTATGCTTTATTTGGGTAGGCTGTTCTAGTTCCACATGGCACAGCGGATAAAGGCGTTAGTTAAATCCAGTGACAGGACCCAAAGAGTGTGAGTTCAATACCTAGTTAAGGCGGTGGAGAACTTGGAGAGGGGATTTAACGGGAGGTAACTGATAACTGACATCTATTAGACATGGCACGATACATGACTGACGAGGCAGATTTTATCCCGCAGTAGTTTGCCATTTCTTTCTGCAGTTGCCATTCAAAGCTATAAAGGCTTGTCTGCCCTGCTATTTACCCATATATGGGGGAGAAGAAGAGGATTCATACCTTTCCTAATGGTGTTAGCACGTAAGTGAATGGATTCCTCAATCCGAACCGTTATCCATTAATCCACCGTTCCCCAGTATTTACGTAATGAGGAGAAATACATTGAAAATACTTTTAAGTTCCTTCAATACCCTAATTATTTCATATTCAACGTGAAACAGAAGGCTCATAAAATATTTCAGAGTAAAAAAGTTAACCATTCAAGCAACTCCAACGAAATGAGATACATTTCCTACCAGTACTTTCACAACTAAAATGGAAAAGAATTTATCCAATCTTAACATAAAATTTATTACAACTACTTTTAATATGTTAAGAGAATTAATGCAAAATAAAATGACAATAAGCTCAAGCCTGTAATGATAGCCACAAGAAATACATAGGAGAAACCTCAAGGAATTTAAGTAAAAGATTATATGAAAAGAAAAGGGATTTTTTACAAAACAAAACACTCAGTGCATCTGACACTCACCATCATCTGATCATAGGTTTGATTTTAAAAATTCTACTTCATTTAAAAAAAAGAAAGCAATTTACTAAGCCGAAATTGTATAGAAAGTGCTATGATTGCAAGATCATCTATATATAAAATTTTGTGACGTCCGTTAGTTGTCTGTCACAGCCTCTAAAATAGCTTTGACTGATCGAAACCAAATTTTGGGGAGAAGTGGAAAAATTAAAAGTTTTATTATTTAACATACAAAATACACACAATATTTTAAAAACAATTTACTAATTAAAATAACAAATACTCATTTAATAGAAATGCAATATTTCCTTTTGCATATCTTTTCTTTAAGTTTTTAGAATCCAGTTTCCCTATGTTTGCGAGAACTATAAACAAATGTCCAACGTTTCAAAAAGTTGGGATTTGGGCTCCAGAGCGAAATATTTACGCATGTAAATTGTATGGTGCATGCTCAAGAGTAAGAAATCTTAAGAATTTATTCTTCGCTGTTAAAAAGGAAAAAAATAAATTTTCTCAAAAAAATATTGTTTACTATGAAGTCCTATAAAATTAAATTAAATGAAAGAATTTATTAAACCGCGAAGTTGGGTTTTTGTCAAAGTATTTTCCCAAACAAATCAGCTTATTCAAATTTCATCGATTGGTTTGCGAAATTGAACGAAACGTAGAGTTTGTAAATCTCGATAAAAACTGTTAGCGATAACCTCAATATTGTAAGGATTTTTTTCCCGCATTTGGTTGCCATTTCTTTCTGCAGAAGACCAGATGCCATCCAAGGCTATAGAACTCGGTCTGTCCTGCTATTTACCCATAGCTGGGGAGAGGGAGAAGAAGAGGATTCATACCTTTCCCAAGGTTATTAGCACGTAAGTGAATGTAATGGATTTGACTGGAAAGTCAGTCAGTCAGTTATGTGCCATGCGTGATACACGCTTAGGCGATCATGTATCTTTCGATACATGACTGACGAGGCAAATTTTTTTCCCGCAGTAGGTTGCCATTTCTTTCTGTGGTAGACCAGTTGCCATCCAAGGCCATAGAATTCGGTCTGTCCTGCTATTTATCCATAGCTGGATGGAGAAAAAGAGGATTCATACCTTTTCCAAGGGTATTAGCACATAAGTGAATGTAACGGATTCGACTGAAATTCGACCTCGGTTCTCTGATTCTTCAATCCAAGCCTCAAATCCTATACTACACAGTGCTTCCTTACAATATCCTTTTATATTTATATATTTATATATATATATATATATATATATATATATATATATATATAAACACTTAATGGATTTATTTTTTGGTTTGTCATTTTTATTACTTCAAAAGCTATTATAGTTGAAACAGACGCCACATTTTTATTATTGTTTTAAAGCGTGTGTATTACGTCTTTCGGCCAGCGCATTCGAGAAATCATTATAAAAAAAAAATGTACTTTCCGGTAGGGATCGAAACTGCGCCCCCTTTTTAGGACAAATTATCGTTTGCCCCAGCGTGTGAAGAGCGTCACAGTTAAACAAGCGGCTATTTTCACTATTTGGTTGAATATATATATATATATATATATATATATATATATATATATATATATATATATATATATATATATATATATATATATATATATATATATATATAGTTATTTATTTAAAAATATGATTTCAACTCGCGTCATAAGAGGTCTCATGTTTCAAAACAAGAGCCGAAAAATTCAATATAATTATTTGAATTAAATTGAGTTAAAGTAAGCTCTGTTCCATCATCAGGCGAAATTTTTTTTGGAATAACGTATTTCTGAAATTTACGTGTTTTAATAAATGAAATCAAAATTTCCATGGTAACAGCTAGGGCGAATTGTTTAAATTGGGTAGGTGTGTGTTGGGTGTTAATAATAAGTATCAATATAGAGTTACTTTCATGGATGTCAAGTCAGAGAAAGGTTGGGGTGTCTAAATTTGGAACGGAAGATGTATAACTCTAGTCTGGTTTGCGTGTCTATGGAGATTTATTTATTTTTTTATTTTATTTTTTATGAAAGGGATTTGTGCATATAAAAAAAATTGCCGTAACGTTTGTTTTTTGACGACTTCATAAAGGGTTATCTTTTTTGTAGGGTATTTAAACTATTTATTTGGGCTATGGATTATAAAAGTTATATTGTATGCTTGTTTTTAGCTAATAATTCAAACCATGAATCTGATGATGTCGACAAAAAACCGTTAACTCATGTCTATTGTTTAATAGATTATTATTATTTAGAAGCTTAATAATGTGCAATATACGTTATTCCAAAAAAAAATACGTTATTCCAAAAAAAATTCGCTTGATGATGGAACAGAGCTTACTTTAAGTCAATTTAATTCAAATAATTATATTGAATTTTTCGGCTCTTGTTTTGAAACATGAGACCTCTTATGTCGCTAGTTGGAATCATATTTTTAAATAAATAATTATATTTATGCTCTACTTTTGTATCGAGCACTATTTTTTAAAAATAATAACTAAAATACTAAGGAACTTTGGATTATTTACCTAACCAGTTCCTTCCTATTTTCTATATATTTTCACATATATATATATGTGTATGTGTGTGTGTGTGTGTTTTATGATACGTAAAATAAGTACTAGTAGTAATAAACTATACCAATTTCTTTATAATTCCAGTTCCGCCAACATTATGGATTATGGGCAATAATATATATAAAATAAAAACTCCTTTGACTATATATATAGTTATATATTACGTTAGTCGGACTATTGTCCTCATCTTTCTCACAACGTTTCGACCGTTGTATGCTCTCTCCTTCTTCAGGTGGTCGGAATTTCGAACTGGGGTAGACTGTTTTAGTTCAACGTTTGATGAATGTCAGTTATCTCTCTGAAAGTTCTCCACTGCTTTAACCGAGTATTGAACTCACACTCTTTGGGTTTGTCACTGGATTTAACCAACGCCTTTATCCACTGTGCCATGTGTCCCTGAGTACGTCTGGGTATGAATTTCTGGGTATTATAAACCTAATGTTTTACCAGTGCTCATATTGCAATTTTTGCTGTTATCATTGCATGTTTTTACCAGAGCCCATATTACAACTTTGTTATCATTGCTTTTCTCTGGCACTCCTTATTACTGGTTCCCATATTGTATTTATTTCTATGCTTGGTCGGCTCAGGAGATTTTTGTGGCGTAGCATGTGTGCTGATTCCTTAAGTTTACGAATTTTCCAATGGTGTTCCCTGTCTATGATCTCAACAGGGGGACGGTGATCTCCCTTCTCTCTCCATATGTGGTCAGCCACGCCTGATTTTTCTACTTCCCCTCCCGTTACAGCTTTCTGGTGTTCTTGAAGCCTTACCTTGACGGGGCGGCCTGTCTCTCCTTTATATTCCTTTCCGCAGCTGCACGGGATAGCGTACACACAGTCTTTAGTCATGTTCTCCTCTATGGGGGGTCTCACTCGAGAGAGATATCTGCGAAGTGTTGTCACGCTTTTGAAGGTTGTCCTGATGTTATATGGACCGCAGATCCTTTGTATTTTCTCTGATAACCCCTTCACATAAGGCAGGCAGACTGTTTTCTGAGTTTTGTTGTCCTCCTCCTCCTCTTGTACCCGCCTATCCCAGTTTTGGGGGGATGCTGCCATGTACCCAGGATAGTTGTTACGTTGTAGGGTACTACTTATACTGACCAATTCCTTATTTAACGTCTCTGGGTCACCACTTATGACTTTTGCTCGGTGTTGTAAGAAACGGACGATCCCTTTCTTTACGCTTTATGGAATTTTTATTGCTGGTAATGTATTTCTACAAAAATCTATTTCTGAGAATATTTTTCCTTGAAGAAATCTGTAGCGGGCCATATTTTTTTCGAAGAAAGTATAGCTGTTTGTATTGCTGGTAATTCCTTTTTAGATAATAATTTTTCCTTTAAAAATTATTCCTTGTATTAATTTTTTTTATTGCAAAGTATTTCTGGTGTTAAAACCTATTATTACACAAGTTTGGGTGTTAACTATTTGTCCATAGATGGGACCCTAAAAGGTGTTACGACACAGGGTCAGGGTGAACCTGGGAACGCCAACAACTAAGAGGTGGGTCCACGTTCCTCAAAACAACCTGATCAGAGGGCTTGCTGTTGGACATTTTATCGACTTACCCAGGACTTGGATGTGGTTTATCGTCACACCCAGAACGAAGATAGATAGATAGATAGATAGATAGATAGATAGATAGATAGATAGATAGATAGATAGATAGATAGATGAATTGGAATCAAATATTGACTGGAATCCGACAGAAGGATAGGCAAAGAAACAAGTAGGAAACGTTTATAAATCTAACACGTTTCACTTTAAATAATCCTTCATCAGAGGAGATATGGAGAAAAAGAAAGAAAGAAAGAAAGAAAGAAAGAAAGAGAAAAATTTAGTATTTTGAAATGTTTGTGGTGTTTGGTTTTAATTGATTAAGCAGACTTCACCAGCATTTTTATTTTTCTTGTCAACCAGCTTTCGTGTGTATAATAGATAGATAAATAGATAGATAGATAGATAGATAGAATGAACAGACTGTGATAGAATGAACAGACTGTGATAGATAGATAGATAGATAGATAGATAGATAGATAGATAGATAGATATGAAGAGATCGTTATAGTTTAAATTGGTTTAACAGCATATCGCCTTTTTTATGGGTCATCTGCTGGGCATTTTTTTTACTATTAAAATCTATTGCTCGAATGTTTACTATAAAAACGTATTTTTATACTTTCATAGTGTTTTGGGGGTTCACTATTTACCCATAGCTGGGACCCTAACAGGTGCTACCACCCCGGGTCAGGGTGGCCTTGGGAACAACAGCAATTAAGAGGTGGTTCTATGCTCCTTGAAACATCCCAATCAGAATCCTTGCTGCCGGATGTAGTTTATTGTCATACCCAGGATGAGATAGATAGATAGATAGATAGATAGATAGATAGATAGATAGATAGATAGATAGATAGATAGATAGGAAATAAAGGAAGGTTTTTTTCATTAATTATCTGTTTCATTAATGATTCATGATTCTATGAAAATCTAGATCAATACCACACAAAACATTTTTCATTAGTTAAAACACGATGCTGGCAAGAAATGGCTTGCGTACTTTCTGATTAAAAAAACGACATTCGACTAGACCAGCGAACAAAGGCAACTTCGGATCAAGGAACGGCCCCACTATCGATGCCGCCATCGCGGCAAACACAAAGAGAATCTCAGAATATTTGTTTGATGCCATATGTGAGAAATCCCTTACGGGTCTAGAATTGTTTTGATCGCAAAAGGGTGAGTAGAGAAAAGACATTGACAGAAAAGCGAATGATACAATCCAGCAATGGCTGACAAGTCAGAAAAGCGGGAAAACCGATGTAGGCCTGAAGAAATAAGGAATGGGTAACAAACAAGACAGTTAAAAACAACATGGCGCAGACTATTAGTGTGTTTAGTGAGAAAATAGCCAGCAACTGTGAATGTTAGCATTGCCCGTTTGGAACACAGACGACAATATATAAAATATATATATATATATATATATATATATATATATATATATATATATATATATATATGTGTGTGTGTGTGTGTGTGTGTGTGTGTGTGTGTGTGTGTGTGTGTTTTAAGGAAGAAAACATTTTACGCCGCTAAAATAATCTATACATAAAACACTTTAATGGTTTTAAAATAAGCAAGGAAAAAGAGTGAAAGAACGAAAAGGCGAATGAGAAGGAGTGATAAGGACAGGGAATAAAAACGGGGAAGGGAAGGGAGGAATTCAAAAAAAGGGAACGGAATAATGAATGAGACAAAAGAAAAAAGTAAAAGAGAGAAATTTCAACTAAAATAAAAAAAAAGGAACAGGTAAGAAAGGAAAATGGAAGAAAATTGCAAGAAAGAAAGAAAGAAATAAAGAAAGCCAGTGAAATGATAAATTACGGCAAACACATTGAAGAAGAAAAGCGACCGAGAAAATAAATAAGCGAAGAAGAAAGGAATAAAACAAAGAGTAGTTATGAAGAAGTAAAAACAACGAAGGAAAAAACAATTGAGCAGAAAGGAAAGAAGAAATGGAATTTTGAAAGTAAAGATATAAGTAATGAATGAATAAAACGAAGAAAAAGAAATGAGTGGGAAAATAAATTTAGAAACGGTTTAGAGAACCAAACTTCTGAAAACGAAAAAGAATTAAAAAGAGGAAAGAAAGAAAACGAAATGATGAAAAATTAAGATCGAAGAAAAATACTATATATAAGAAAACAAAGAATGAATTAATGAAGAAGAAATAGAAAAAGAATTGAAAGGAGGTAAAACGAGAAAATAAGAATGAAGAGAAATAGAAAAAGTATGGGGAAATAGAAAGAAAAAAAGAAAGAAAGAAAGAAAGAAAGAAAGAAAGAAAGAAAGAAAGAAAAATGTAGACGGAGAGAATCAATTAAGAAAGAAAGAAAGAAAGAAAGAAAGAAAGAAAGAAAGAAAGAAAGAAAGAAAGAAAATGTAGAAGAAGAAGGGAATCATTGTACGAATAAAAAATTGGAATGGAATTAAAGAAAGAAAGAAAGAATGAATGAATGAATGAATGAAAAAGAATGAAAGAACGGAAGAAAGATGAGGAAAAAGAATGGAATCATTGTATGAAGAACGAAATTTAAAAGGGAATCAAAGAAAGAAAGAAAGAAAAATGTAGACGAAGAGAATCAATGAATTAATGAAGAAAAAAGGAAAGAAAGGATGAAAGTAAAAATGAAATATGTAGAAGAAGAAGGGAATCAATGTATGAAGAAAGAAAGAAAGAAAGAAAGAAAGAAAGAAAGAAAGAAAGAAAGAAAGAAAGAAAGAAAAATGTAGACGGAGAGAATCAATGAAGAAAGAAAGAAAGAAAGAAAAAGAAAGAAAGAAAGAAAGAAAGAAAGAAAGAAAGAAAAATGTAGACGGAGAGAATCAATGAAGAAAGAAAGAAAGAAAGAAAAGAAAGAAAGAAAAGAAAGAAAGAAAGAAAAAGAAAAAAAATGTAGACGGAGAGAATCAATGAAGAAAGAAAGAAAGAAAAGAAAGAAAGAAAGAAAGAAAGAAAGAAAGAAAGAAAGAAAGAAAGAAAGAAAGAAAGAAAATGTAGACGGAGAGAATCAATGAAGAAAGAAAAAAAGAAAAGAAAAAAAGAAAGAAAAGAAAAGAAAGAAAGAAAGAAAGAAAGAAAGAAAAAATGTAGACGGAGAGAATCAATGAAGAAAGAAAGAAAGAAAGAAAGAAAGAAAGAAAGAAAGAAAGAAAGAAAGAAAGAAAGAAAAATGTAGACGGAGAGAATCAATGAAGAAAGAAAGAAAGAAAGAAAGAAAGAAAGAAAGAAAGAAAGAAAGAAAGAAAGAAAAATGTAGACGGAGAGAATCAATGAAGAAAGAAAGAAAGAAAGAAAGAAAGAAAGAAAGAAAGAAAAGAAAGAAAGAAAATGTAGACGGAGAGAATCAATGAAAGAAAGAAAGAAAGAAAGAAAAGAAAGAAAGAAAGAAAAGAAGAAAGAAAGAAAAAAATGTAGACGGAGAGAATCAATGAAAGAAAGAAAGAAAAGAAAAGAAAAAGAAAAAGAAAGAAAGAAAGAAAGAAAAGAAAGAAAAGAAAGAAAAATGTAGACGGAGAGAATCAATGAAGAAAGAAAGAAAGAAAGAAAGTAAGAAGAAAAGAAAGAAAAATTGAAAGAAAGAAAAAAAGAAAGAAAAAAGACGGAGAGAATCAATAAAGAAAGAAAGAAAGAAAAAAAAGAAAGAAAGATAGGAAAAAAATGTAGAAGAGAATCAATGAAGAAAGAAAGAAAGAAAGAAAGAAAGAAAGAAAGAAAGAAAGAAAGAAAGAAAGAAAGAAAGAAAGAAAAATGTAGACGGAGAGAATCAATAAAGAAAGAAAGAAAGAAAGAAAGAAAGAAAGAAAGAAAGAAAGAAAGAAAAATGTAGACGGAGAGAATCAATGAAGAAAGAAAGAAAGAAAGAAAGAAAGAAAGAAAGAAAGAAATATGCAGAAAGTGATCAAGGAATGAAAGAAAAAAGAAAAAATGTAGAAAAATGAATCACTGAATAAATGAATGAAGACATGAAGAAAGAAAGATTATAAAAAAGCAAAGCATAAAAAAAAAGAAAAGAAATAAAGATAGTAAAGAAAACAGGATGTTTATGAAGAAGAAAAAAGAAAGGCAATAAGAAATGAAAGAAAAAAAGAAGTATATAAGACACAGGGAGGTTAAAATACTTAGAACAAAATCTTTAAAAGCGATTTAGTCGTTGAAAGGCAAGTAAAAATTAAAGTCTGGTTTTCTGGAAGTCATTACCAAACAGTAAAAACAATGTCTTCAAAAATACATACACGAGCTCTACTTTGAGGCTACTTCCCACCCTCGCTTGAAGTTGACTTTGGAGTTCAAATGACAAGTCAGGATTTCGAATGCTGATTTTTACGGAATACTGAGGCATCACAATTTTTCTACCTATTATCTCTCATATTGAATGACCTGGCGGTTAGTGGCAACGAGAAGCGAATCGGCGAAGAAAGTTCAAACTCCGGCCAAAACAATTTACCTTTATTTTGCACAAATGTTCTTAGCAAAGACATGAATCCACTTTCCCCTCCAGTCATAGATAAATAGTGACGATGGAGTTTTTGACTCAGTACAGCCGTTCATTCTGGGCACCGGTCTAGGTCTCCGAAAAATTCACTTTGATATGACTGTAACCTCTCCCGTCTTCCGAAAGTAGTCTGCAGGAATAAAAAATAAGGAGCATTCCTACTATTTGTCTTTTTCTATACTACTTCCTCGGGTTATATGTATAAGTCACTGAGGGATTATTAGAAGATGAGGAAAGAGAAAGCCAGTCCTTCCCAGTTCATTTGTTTGGGGCTATCGCTTTGGGTTACTTATGGTCATGAACTTTAGAGTATTTATATAATTATTTACTAATTTATTCACTTGCATATTTCATTATTTTTTATTTTATATATTTTTTCTGTCGTATATTTTCTTTGATACTAAATTTTGATATTTGAAATAAATTTATTTTGATTTAGGTGATGAGATTTTATTCTGACATTTTGACCTTGATGAGGTTATAGGTAGCGTAGTAGGAATTTACTTTCGTGCCAGAATTTGGAAATGAGTTCTGGTCATTTGTTTTGAAGTGTATCCTTTTCTGGAAAGATAATAATGGCGATATTCTCCTTTACATGGTTTCGAGTAATTGCTGTAAGCTGGAGCTGACAGTCAACATGCACTGTTGATTCCTATATCCACACTTCACACACACACACACATTTATATATATATATATATATATATATATATATATATATATATATTTCACAAATTTGAGGGCGCGGCTTCCTCGCACTAAAACAAGGACCCGTCCTGGGTATGAAGATAAACTACATTCGAGTCCAGGGTAAGACGATAAACTACGTCCAACAGCAAGGAGTCTCATCAGGAGGCTTTGATGACCGTGAACCACTTCTTACTTGCTGCTGTTCCCCGATCCACCCTGACCTGGCGTGGTAGCACCTGTTAGGGTCCCAGATATGGGCAAATAGTTAACCCCGAAACTGTAGTAAAAAGCATTATGAAAGTGTAAAACTAGGTTTTAATACTAGAAATACCTTGTAAAAATTGTTACAAGAAATAAATTTTTGAAGAAGGAAAACTATTAGCAGCAATACGTTTTTGAAAAACAAATATTACCAGTAATACATTTTTTTAAATTATACGACCAGCTATACATTTTTTAAGAAAAAATATTACCAGAAATAGATTTTTGATAAAACAAAAACATTACCAGCAAAAAGTTGTTGGCATTAAATGCACCCATTGAGGTTGATATGCCGTAAAACAAACCAAACAAACAAACATAAAACAAGGACAAAAGTCTATATAAACATTTATCCGCAAACCCTTCGTTTATGAGTTCATCACAACGAAAAGATATTATTGATTTTGAAAATGATTTAATAAATATTGTAAATAAAATATAAACAAGAAAAACCA